GTGGTGAGACTTTTTTCCATTGAAAACTCACGTTTAGAGAATGTTACAAATAAAAATCTAATTTCATTCAACATGTGTGTGTATTTTTTTTTTTATAATTAAGTGTTCCACGTACGCTAAAAAGTGCCCTCCCCCCCTCCTGAGCACCTGCCTCCCAAATTGTCTGTGCACGCCTCTGAAACTTATTGTTTATATTATCTATATCCGTAACCTAATTCAGACACTAAGACTCACATATAACACAGACTGATTTATTTAGAGTTTTAATTTCTGTTAATTATGAAAAAAGCACAAGGTGGCAGCTTGCTGGAGCTCATCTTTATTATTTTGAGCCTTTTTCTTCCTCTTGTGTCATCGCTTCCTGGAGGTTCAGTTTGTTCCTTCTAGTGTTTCGTCCCATGAAGCTGGAAGACTTTAGACGTTAATTTTGGTTTAAACATCGCTCTGTTATCTGTTGAATGCAGCAGCACACAGATGTCTACGTTTTCCTGAAAAGGTCCAACTATTCTGCCTTCATCAGTTGTGGCCCATAAATCTGTCTCTATTTCCTCCTCTGTCAGGAGGAATGGGACAAAATTCCAGCAAAATCATGTGAGAAGTTTTTTTTATCCTTTAATAATCGTTTTCAATAATTTAAGCTGCTGCATGGAAGACCAGCTTATTTAGCAATGACCTTTAGGGCTTCTTCTCCTTCTGGAAGCTTCTGGACAACGCTGCAATAACCTGAGGACTGTCTGTCTTATAATGTTTTCCAAACACCACATCTGTTTTTGGTGAAGTATGTTTATTATTTAAATATTGAAAGAAGCATCATTTTATTTTTTTATTTATTTGTTGTTGTTTTTATACAGAAACCCCAGATTAACACTGTTCTAACTTCCACTGAATCAACCACCTCTCCTTCCTCTGTAAAACCATTGGATCTATCTGTCTGGGAGTCTGGCTGCTATCCATATATATGTGGATCTGTGCAACGAGAGCAAAGTGGAACCAAAGTCAAATTCCTTGTTCTGCCACAACTTGGACCGATAAAGCTGATTCTGAAAACAATAGACCACCAGTGGGCAGTCTACTGTTCCTCATCCCGCCCTAAAAATACCAAAAGTTGACCTACTGACCTGCCGTTGCCTTGACAACGCTCCAGAGGTCCACAGGTGGAGTTCTGCAGGACGGCTTTGTCAGAGCAGATGAGACTGACACAGGTTTCAGGATCAGAGCTGACCACATCACCTGGTTTATAGAAAAGACATGAGTATAAAGGAAGATTTTCTGAGCTGAAAACTCAGACATTTATGAATAATTCATTTTGTCCCTAAACAAAAAGAATATATAAAATTTGACTATTTGATTTTATCCACAGAATCAGGAGGTTTATGCTTGAATGGAGAGATTCACAGACCTGAGTGTCTGCAGCTGGTCAGGTCTGCATACTCAGGTATCCAACCTGAAGTCGCATTAATAGACTTGACTTTGATTCCATCCACCAGAATATCAACCAGCTACAAAACAACAAAGAGTCAGAACCACAGGTCTGAAACATAGACGGAGCAACATGGAAACAAACATGTCCTGATAAGAGAAAATCAGCAGGAGGAAAGTTTGTTATAGAATCATTATTCAGTTAGAGGAGATCCTTTATTCAGACTTTGATCACGGTTCCTTACCGATGGAATCAGAGGGTAATAACCTAGAGCAGTTTCTGACCCAAAGCTGAATATGCCATAATCTCCCTGTAAGAAGAACAATGTAAGCATG